AGGGGGGGGGGGGGGGTGGGGAGGGGGGGGGGGGGGGGGGGGGTCAACTCAAACCCAAAATAAGTTGGTTTTGACTTCCCTTGAGCTTACTAGCTCAATCAATTTTGAGATGGAATTTAGCTCATTTATGAGCTGATTTTTAGTTCATTTATTGAATTAAAGGTTAGCTCATTATTAGCTAAGTTTTAGTTCATTAGTTATTTTAATTATGTAATTTTTTTAATCGTTTTTATGTCTTAAATTTAAGTTTGTCTCTTGGGATTCCAAGGTTGTTTGTTTTCCCGTGCCTTTGCTCCTTGGCTTCCACGGTTGGCTGTTTCCCTGCCTTGGCTCCTTGGTTCCCACGGTGGGCTGCTGGTCTTCCGTGCTGGGTGGCTTTTCCCGTGCCTGGTGCCTCGGTTCCTTGCGGGCCTCTTGGGTTTCCGCGGCTGCCTCTTCGGTTCCTTGGCTGGGCTGTTTTTCCGTGAAAAGCTGAGGGCTTTTCCGTGGTTTGTGGTGCTTAGATTCATGTGGGAATTTAATTAGGTGGCTATTTGTATTCCCCCTTTCATACCTATAAATATGAGGGGTTTCGTAATGTTTTAAAGAAGTGATATATGAATTTTTGAAAAGAAATCCTTGGAATTTTCTTGGAGAAGCTTGCGAGCTTTGTCCACCTTCTTCTTTCACCTCTTTGGAAATCTTGCGAGCTCTTTCCACCATTCTCTCGGCTTCTAACCTCTTTTGTCTCTCCGCAAGTGATCACCCCATCTGTATCCTTCTTCTTTAAGTAAAACAAGTTTAGGGTGTCCTTTATTAGAGTCAAGTTTAGGAAGAGTTCAAAGTTTTTAAGTTTTTTTTTTTGTAAGTCTTTTGATTTCTAAGTCTTTCTTTTATTTGAAATGTAAGAGTTTGTTCGTTTTATTACGTAGGAGCTCTTTTCTTTTAGTCGGGTCTACTCTGTGTGGGCAGAGGTCCTCGGGTCCCCCCATCCCCTGGATGTTTGCCCGCATCATAACTCTACTCCCTCAACCCGGTGGTTGATGACTTATATGTCAAGGCTTGATCTCCGGTTGGGAATTTGACCGCAATATGATAAGTTGAGATGATGGCCTTGAAGGTGTTGAGGAGACGCCGCCCAAATTTGCGTGTAGATGGTCGGTGTGACCATAGTGATGAAATCAACTATCGTAGTATATTGGTCCTTGGATGGTAATAGCTGTGAACCGAGAACTGACTAAACCTACGGAGTTATAGCTAAGGGTTTCTGAGGTGTGCAAATCCTGTAGTTGGACCAAAGATGTTAGTGATAGGCGGTTGGCCTTGACTATGTATAGTTGTTATGGATGAGCAATCCCTATTGAGGCAAGTGGTCTTCAAGGCTTAGATTGGTAAGGATATGTCCTCTAATGGGACTTGCCGAGGACGATCACCCCTTCATCTGGCCTAGCAAGACAAATCTTCATGTTATGATCCCTTTGAGGGAGAGTGATCTTGGAGCTACAAACTGGTACTAGCCAACTTGCTTCGAGGTTTTGTTCCCTTCAAGTGAGTTCCTCTCTTTGGTGACATGTTCGCTTTAGCTGGGTCTCTTGGTTGGAACCTGTCAGGTATCTGATAGTTACATATATAAGCATATATGAGTATATGATTGCTACCTATAGAAGTCACCATTTTGTGATTTCAACGAATTGGATTGCTTAAGAGCATGAGAGCACAATACACATCCCTTCTAATTTATTCATATTTTTCAAAAGCATGCCATTATAACATGATATAGTCAGACTAAACCTCAAAGTACCTCTGAAAATTTACTTGTAATTCATGACAGTGAGCAACACTAGAATTATAAACCGAAATAGTAACTTGTGGACCTTTATGACTATTTTATCTCAAAAGGAATGCTTCTAAGAGTCGGAAAGTGAGGCAAACCATAGAAGTTATTTTGGGCATGTTTGAGGGTTCAGTCATTTTTCATAGTTTGAGAGATTATATCTAATTACTTCAATGATGGCTGATCTTAATTCAAAATGGGTTTGAAACCTGTTCAGTGCATCTTTTCAAAAGTTCACTGCTATTTGTCCTTTTCTTGTTGTTAAGTTTGATATCCTTAACGCATAATCATTATGTGATCATATTATGCCTAGAATGTGCTGTGTACAGTAAATGCTTTTGAGTTATGTGCCATTTATCCTTAATAATGAAGATTCCTCAATTTGATCATCTAATTTAATATCCCATATTTTTTGAATATTAAAGTTGCTTCAACCTTATGATCGTAGGATTATACCTTTGAAGACTTATATAACCTTTATAATTTACAAAGATTGAACTCATACTTTAATATTTTTATGATTTTTGTATTAATCAGTTACATTTTTTCATAGACTTAGTGTGCAGTGCCGTTTAATTTTTACATAAAATTCTCATCTGAAATAGCATATTAACCCAGATAAGTAAGACCTTGCATGTAGACCATATTTTCTCGATTACAGGAAGGATTCTCTAGTCAAAGTAATTTTATGTTATCATATTTTCTATATAAGAATATATGAAAAAGATTCTTTGCTTACAACATTGTGACATGCCCGTTTTAGACTTTGAAAATTGAACTATGAAATAAAGAAGCGGTTCTTAATACATTTTTGCAATAGTTATAAGGGTTTATGTTTTGTAAATTCCCTTATTTTTTTCTTAATCATCCAACATGTGTGGGAGTGATGTAGGCAACGGGGGGGGGGGGGGGGGGGGGGGGGGGGGGGGTCAAAATATCTTGGGTTTTTTGGTCTTTGGGCTACTGGCTGCTTCTCGGGTTGGGCCTTGGCTGCTCGGGTTTGGGCTGCGTTCTTTGGAAGCTACATGGTTCTAGCTTATAAATACATGAGCTGAAGTTTAGCTCATTTATTTGAAAAGCTATTCCTCTTGTTAGCTCATTAAGTGGAGTTGGATCTTTGCCTTTTCCTTTTCTCTGTGTCCCCTCGATTTCTTCATGGTGTTGTTTCCTGTGGCTGGTTATTTCTCCCTTTTTGGGTGCTGGTTCCGGTTCCCTGTGCTGCCCCTTCGGTTTCTCCCCTGGCTGCTTTACCCAGTTTCTGTGTGGCTGTTCGGGTGCTTTTTTGAAAATGAATGCTAGCCTCTTTTGTGGCTGTTTGGGTGATTTTTCTGGACAGATTTTTTGGCCTTTCATTTTTCCCTTTTAATTGGTTTAAATGGAGGTTGTTTGGCTGCTCTTTTTTCCTATATATATATATGATGTTTTTGTAATAAAAAAGTGTGTTATGTAATTGATTTTTGGAAGCCAAAACCTGCGGGTTTTCTTGGAAAAGCTTGCGAGGTTGTTTCATTTCTCTCTTCTTCTAGGAAAGCTTGCGAGTTTGTCCTCTACTTTATCTCGGCTTCTAACCTCTTTCTTTTTTCGGCAAGTTCGACGCCATCTGTATCTTTCGTCTCAAGTAAAGAAGAGCTCCTTTAGGTGTCTTTTATGTTTGTTTTATTTTAAAAGTTTGTAAGTGTCATTTCATGTTGTCAAAGTTATGTTGTACTCGTCGCTATATGCCATAAAAGATGTGTTTTTGAATATTATTGTGTATTTTTTACTTTCCTAGGAAGTCTTCTTTTTGCTTGCAAAAATTAGGGGCTTTTCCTAATTTTTATTTGCATCAGGGAGTTGAACGCCTCACCACACTATAAAATATAGGTAATACCAACTTCTTTCAAGGGTAATACCAACTGATCCCTTTTAAGCTAGCATAAACCCTATCTATTTTCCTAGTTTGCTAATGATTGTGACCTCATAGTGCAGGTTCTCTTTGTGCTTGCTTCAATACTTCATGGAGGACAGTTTGTAATTTCTCTATTTTTTCTTTTGTCTAGGATTCTAAACTTCTGTCAGCTTTGGCGGACAACTGTAAAAGACCAGTTACATATGCGGGTGCTTTTCTTTTCAAGGATGAGCCTGGAACTGACCCTAGTCTGGTGTCTGGTACAGAAACTGGGAAAAGCATCTATGAATTCAAGGGTCAAGAATTGTTTAACCGCCTACATGACATTGGTACCCTGGCTCAGGTCTCTCTTTTTCTCTCTCACTGAACACCCCCCCCCCCAACTCTCCTTTTATTATCCACAGCCACTCCGCCCTTCTCTGCCTGCCCAATATATACCTCCCTGTTTTTTTTTTTTTTCCTTTATTATTTCCAGTGAAAATGGTCTCTGTTTCAGTTCTCTGAGTTTAAGTTGTCTAATCATTTCGTTTTAAGATGTTTGTTAGAATGAGCTCTGTCTCTCATGCGTAGAGGATTCTGTCAACGGGTTCTGTCTTGTGTAGAAGATACTGTTAATATGAGATATATTTATGTTAACGATAGAATGATCCTCTTCATGCATGCAATGTAACTATTTTTCCAGATATGCTTGTTAATTGCTTTCCCTTCTCAGCTTGACGTAAGTTCTCCACAGATTGACATAGGATCTTGATTCTTTCATTAAACGCATTTGTAATTTCGTTTTTGTTGATTTTTTGCCTTGTCTCACCTAGTTGCTGTTTGGGATAATATGTTTTTAATTCACCATTTTGGTTGTACCATATTTTGTGAATGATACTTAATGAATATTGTCCATGTATTATTTTAATTTCTGAAATTCTCTAATCAATGAAGCTTCCGTCCATGAATTGCTGAAGTGGAGGACTGCATCAACTTGTTGTGTGATAGAAAAGTACCACTCAAATTCAAGGGAAAATTTTATAAGATGGTGGTGAGATTTGCAATGCTTTATGGTGCAACATATTAGCCATTGAAAGAGAAGCATAAAACTAAGTTAAGTGTTGTAGGGACGAGGATGCTCAAGTGGATGAGTGGCTTTACTCTTAGAGACAATGTGAAACGAGCATATACATGAAAGGTTGGTAACTCTAGTGACAAATAAGATTAGAGAGAGTCACCTTAGATGATTTGGTCAAATAAAACATCAACCTTCTGATGACCTATTTAGGAGAGTATATGTATTAGATTGGCTTATGTTAAGAAAGATAGAGGCATACCTAAAAAGACTTGGTTAGAAAATATTAGAAACTACCTTTTTTTATTAGATTTAAATGAGGATTTGACTCTTAACAAGACACAATGGAGAAAAAAGATTCATGTGACCGACCCCATGTAGTTGGATAAGGGCTTGATATTGTTGTTGTTGTTGCTGTAAAGATGAAGAAAGGTAGAGGTAGACCTAAAAAGACTTGGTTAGGAAGTGTTAATGATGACATTTTTTTTATTAGATTAAAATGAGAATTTGACTGTTAATAAGATACAATGGAGAAAAATGATTCATGTAGCTAACCCCACATAATGGGATAAAGGCTTATTGTTGTTGTCGTCATCGTCGTCTTATCAATGAAGCTTGTTATGTTTCAGGAATTGCCCTATAACAAAGATGATGTGTGATAAAAGCGACCTAGTTTTTGAAGTTATTTCAACATTAAGAGATGTTTTAAAGATAAGTTCAGTTTGAAGAGAGTACGCTAAAACATATCCTCGGGTATGTTGCATGTCTTTAATTGTGCTGCTTTTTACTCTTTAATACTGTATTTTTCCTGGTTTTCTTGTTCAATGTTATTCAGATCACAGCGTTGTCAAATGCAATGTACTTGGTTGAATGCTATTTTACTTGAACATAGCAGATGCTGACAAGTTTGCCGAAAATCTTGATTACATCAAAATAGAACTTGAATGCCATTAATAAAGTTGTTATTTAATCAACATCATTTCGATGGCTTTTTTACTGTTTTTATGGAGGAAAAATATATACAAAAAAAAGCAATGTTCGTTTGAAAATTTTACTATTTTGTTGTGACTTTGACTGGAACACTTTCTTCCTGCACTTTCAATCTCTTCTTAGTGGTATATAAGTGATTCTAGTGTTTTATCTGTTGCCATGCTTAGTTAATTTTCTGTTTCACTAGATAAAGTTGTGATTCAGCTGCTGTACCTAACAAAAAGTCTTCTTGGCATTCCTTGTACATTGGTGAATTTACATATGGAAGGCTAGCAGATTTTGGTGCTGCTTTATCGATGGCCAACAAGTTACTTTGCCAGCAAGTGCTTGAAGAACTAGATGTAAGAACATTTTTCAGTGAATCGGAAAATTTCATTTTTATAATTATGCTCTAATTTTTCCCTGCATAATTAAGTATATACCTTTCGGAAATTTCTTCATTCTTGGTTTCAAATTTTACTTTAGAAGATAAACATTAATAAGGCTTTGCTGCACAGATGAAAATCATATATGTTCTCCATTCTCTGATATAACAAAAAAGGCTGTCTTTACATGAAACGAAAAATAGGATGCCTATCAACTTTGCTTTACATATTGTTGGGTATAAGTCAGGAAATCAGCATGGAGAATTTCCTTATGGTGGAGAGGTGGGTTTGTGAGGTGTTGGTCGATCCCAAAATAGAGAGAACTTTTATTCTGTTTTGTTGACTATGGGTTTGATCGGTTCTGTATTAGAAATGGAAGTGGGTTCAACTAGGCTTGATGTGCAGGCTGAAAAGTGAGAACTGAGAACTCGTTCAAAAGTGTTTGGATCCTTATTTGACTTTAGCCCCATATGTTTTGGAATGGCTCGGAAGTAGGTGCTTCTTTATCTCGGTGTGTCAGTATTGTATAGGGTGGGTGGTTGGAGATGGAACGGATCTCAGGTTATATTGATGCATGTATTTTTGTTCTGCCACTTTAATTGGCTACCTTTCTTTTAATGGATTTTGTTGACTCCTTAAAAGCAAATGTTCTGGGGATTAAATTTAGAATTATTGACTATTGTTTCAAGGCCATAGCCTCAGTTTGTGTGTAACATTTCATATTTATTGTTATTTTGAAAATTAGAATGAGAAGATAAGAGAGTAATAAATGAGAGATTGTGTAATTGAATTTTATTTTTCGTTATGTGTAAAAAATAAAATACCAAGGATCAACTTTAAGGCCTCGTTTGATTAGGCTTTTTTTCTCCGTTTCCGTTTGAATAAGCCGAAATCAATTAGTATTTACTGTTTGGAATCAAAGCTTAACAATAATTCCTTTTTAATAAACATCATTTTTTCGGCGGTTACAAAATTCTTTTCGTATCTGCTTCTTCGGTCACAAAACGGAGTTTCGGTCACAAAATGTCTTTTATAATAAAATCTCAAAAGCAAAACAACTAAACAAACAATTTAAAATTACTTTCAAGTATTAAATAATAAATCTCAAAAGCAAAACTCCTAAACAAACAATTTAAAATTACTTTCAAGTATTAATAAGCACTTTTAAAAATATTAGTCAAACATATCTCATTATTGAAACTCCATTTTATTGAACGGCTTTTTCTCAACCTCCTTTTCTAAAACTCATTTTTATGAAAGCATAAACCGAATCAAACGAAGCCTAAGCCTTTAACTTTTTGCTCTAGTCATGAATGTTCTTACTAGACACTTGCGAGAGGATTTTCCCTGGTGTATGATTTTTGCTTATGATATTCTTCTTGTTGATAAGACTAGAGAGAGAGTTGATGATAAACTTGTAATATGAAGGTCAATCTTAGAGTCTAAAGGTTTTCGTCTAAGTAGATCTAAAACTGAATACATGGAGTGTAATTTTTGTAGTAATAGATCTAATGAGGGGATTGCGACTTTGGTCGATCAAGTCATTAATAGGAGTATACATTTTAGATATCTCGGGTCTATTGCTCAGAGTGATGGTGAAATAGATGGGGATATTTTTAGTAGAATTCAAGTTGGATTGTTGAAGTGGAGGAATGCATTGTGCTTATTGTGTGATAGAAAAGTACCCCTCAAACTTAAGTGAAAATTTTATAAGATGATGGTGAGACCTACAATGATTTATAGCACAAAATGTTGGCTTTTAAAAGAGCAACATACAATTAAGTTAATTGTTGCAGAGATGAGGATGCTCTGGTGGATGAGTGGCTTTACTCTTAGAGATAGAATGTGAAACAAGTATATATGTGAAAATGTTGGAGTAGCTCCAGTGGAAGATAAGATTAGAGAGAGTCTCCTTAGATGGTTTGGTCATATAAGACATTGGCCTTCTGATGACCCGGTTGGGAGAGTAGATGTATTAAATTTGGCCTATGTTAAGAGTGATTGAAATATACCTAAAAATACTTGGTTAGAAAGTATTAGAAATGACCTATTTTTTTAGATTTAAATGAGAAATTGACTCTTAACATGATACAATGGAGAAGAAAGATTCATTGTAGGCAACCCCACAGTGGAATAAAGGCTTGATGTTGTTGCTGGTGTTGTAAAATAAAATGAGATGTACATAAATAAGTAGATAAATAACTATCAAATAAAGAAACAAGTGTATACCTTTATTATATAATCTAGTGTTACCTGCCCAACATAATTGGAATGCCGCTTAAGATTGAAAGTTATTATCTACAACTTGTTGGATTGGTTTAGATGGAATGGTGTTATCTACAAATTGTTGGATTACTTTAGATGGAAAACTATTGTCCACAAATTTGCTAGGTTGTTGTTGATGAAAAGATGTTGGTCATGATGCCTTATACTCAATATTATTTCAACACTCTCTCAAGCTGGCAAAATTTATTTTGGGTAAAACTTTGCTGGGAATATTTGCAGTTTGAGAGTTTTTTTGGAATATAATTTAATGTGGTATATCTCTATATGTACAAGTAACCACCTTTTTTGGTAAATATCAAGTGCCACTATCCTATATTCAACTTCAATGTTACTTCTTGAGACCAAATATTATTTTTTTACTTCACAATGTAGCTAAATTTCCCCATACATATATACATTATAACAATTGGTGGATCTTTGGTAGCCCAATCAACATTTGTGAAAATTTTAATATTCTTGTTGGATGGCTTTTATAAAGTTGGCCCTTTTTTGGTGTCATTTTCAGATACCTTAGAATGTGATTAATAATTTTCACGTGGCCTTTAGTGGGGTTGTTTAGCATTGATGTGTAATACTAATATGGATCCTAATATTTGAACGAGCTAGAGAGAGCTAGATGAGTTTGCCTATAAGACATTGATATTTTAACAGTGTTGTTGCAGAGCTAGGTTGTAAGACCCATCTTTGGGTAACTCATTAGCAGAGCCGTAAGTTCAGCTCCAAATTAAACCTACAAACAACTTCTAAGGGAGTCGTAAAACCTGTTAACCAAATTCAAAATTAATGAGTATCTTAGCTAATGGGGCTAGGTTGTAAGACCCAATATGCCACTACTAGTCGAAGTCATAAGACCTGATTTTTGAGATATTTTCAATGAAAGTCATAAGCCCCAACCCAAATTCAAACCAAAGGGCTACTTCCAAGAGAAGTCGTAAGACCCACTTTAATTCAAATATTTGGGTAACTTCTAAAGGAATTTATAAACCCCAAAACTCAATAAAACTAAAATTCACATGTGACCATCTCAGTCTACTTAGGATCCTTAAGAGGAGGCAACTATTGACTATTAATCAAATTCCTTAGACACTATAGTCAATGATTATTAGTGTTGGTAGACTGAAACTTTTGGTATACCCAGGATGATGGAACCATGGAATCTTGATCGGGTTTATTTCCATTTTTCCCCACAATTGAGACTAAAATATTTAAAATTATTCATCCTTAATCGAGGGTTCTCTCTTATGTGTTATGAAGGGTAATTAACTATGAGTGTTTGCGCTCATGGAAAGTAAGGACTCAGATCTAACTAAACCCTGATACTACCCTCATGAAAAAATTGGTTAATTACAATCTGTCTTAAGAGAAATGAAATCCTACGTCTGCAAAGCGGGATTTATGCTGACGTTCCATTTTTCATGAGCCAATATTATGATCTCTCCTTGTGATGTATCATGATTAGATGCATGTACAAACAATTTGTATATCATGGTCTTGAAAAGTTGACAATACCTGCAATAACTATTTTATTTGTCACTGCTTTGAATGCATATTATTTTTGCCCTTTGTGTTATCACTGTGAGGAGAGCTGACTATCTTTTCCTTGCCGCAGCTTTTAGTTGGGGCCTTGATTTGTCCCTTGAATGTGTAGATATCTAAATTATATGCCACGTAAAGCTTGCAGATAAGTTAAATTAATTAGAGTGCCTTCCAAGAAATTTTGAGTTAATTGCATTCGTTGGATTACTTATTTTTTTTTTCCTAAAACCACACTATTTTCCTTGCTATTGGAGAATTCAGATACTTGCACTGTAAATTTGGCTAGGTTATGTGTTTGCTGAAGGTCATGAGAATCATGGCCACTTGTTAGTAGTGCTAGCCTTAAATATTCCTTAGCATCTGTGGAATTATGGAGATCTTACTGTAGATGTGACCAGATATGGAGTTGTGAACTAGTTGTCAAGGTGATGAGAATCTAATTTTATAAAGCTAGCCTCAGGCTCTCTTCATCAACTTGAGGTGATAGAGTAACCCAATTTTTACTATTCCATTTTCTTCCTACATTTTTCTCTTTCAGAATTCTTTTCTTCAGAAGTCTTCCTCCCTCTTCCTACTATTTGCTATCACTCTTGATAGTGTTGGAAATTTAGTTTCATCCAACTACTATGATTTGTATATAGTTTCTTAATGTAATTTATTTTAATGTTTCTTCTTTTGTTGAATAACATCATGCAATTATCTTATGAATTCCCTTTTCGGAGTACCAAGTAACATAAGTATATAAATTTCCTTTTGATTGCAGCGATGAAAACTTTGACGTTCATAATGCACAAAAGATTTTAGATGAGGACCATTATGGCTTGTCTGAGGTGAAGGAAAGAATTCTGGAATTTATAGCTGTTGGAAAATTGAGAGGAACCTCAAATGGTTAGCAAGGATGTTCTTCCTTAGTTTCGTGAATATATGCTATTTGTTTAACTTTGATCTAACTCAATAAAAATACTTTCAACATATTTTTGTATGTGTTAGAGATTATAAAATTTTTAGTATGCTTATGTTTAGATTTATAAACTATTACTAGCCTCTCTTTTTTCACTGTGTTTTTTGTCATTTTTAAATTATCACATGTGCTAACTATTTATTGCAGAAATTTTCAAAAATTTATTATTATCATATTTCATCATTATTGGGATATTCTCTTTCATCATTCTCTTCTCTTACCTATATAAATACATATATAATTGTACCATGAAGACATTTGAGGTAAGTTATAGCCTTTTCGAATTCTCTCTTCAACATGCTGTTAGTGTCATAGCATAGAATACTCCTAATCTTCTTTAAGCACCTTCTTGTTGACGTCGTATTCTTTGAACTAATAATCTCCATTGATATGCTCTCACACTTGGCTCTGACTATGACATATCTGAGCTCTATTGGCTTCCCACTTTATGAAATTCTCATCTTCATCTGGAACAAGATGTTCTCTAATGGTTGCAACATTGTTCGCACTACATTGACATGAGCTAAAAACTCACCCTCTTGCTCTATTCATACATGGATTCATTTTCTGACCAAAATACTACATAAAATTCTTTACCTAATCATCTTTCAATCATGATCTGGGAGCTAGATGTCATCTTCACTCACTGACCATTAAAGGCACTTTGCCTCTATATTTGGCTATTTCTATTCACCTCTACATTCTATTTATATTCTTAGTTGACACTCTCTATCATACATTTGTTTAAGTATCTTTTCTATGCCTTCTTTGTAATGAACCGTTGGGTGGCCGGTTCAACCGAACCGGCCAACCCGCCATTTAATAGCCGCGACCCCAAAAGGGGTCGGTACTGGCTGTTTCGCGAAACAGAGCGCGGAAGGGGGGCGGACGACCGAATCTTCGCGCAAATGCTTGGGGAGATTTTCTTTTGCCAATTTTAGCAAACGAACGCGTTGAAGGGTAAGATTTAACAACTCCTCGTTCTTATTGTTATAGAAGCAAATGTTTGGGAGAATTTGCAACGAAGGGAAGAACTGGCGAGGAAAGAAAAGGGAAAAGGTTTGTTGATTTTCTTTCGGATTTCTCGTATAAATTTCCTTCCTTTACTTCATTCAAAGTGAATGATATGTTTCTTGAAAGATAAGGAAGGTATTGAAGCGAAGAAAAAAAAAAGGAATTTGTGAGAAGAATGATTTTGAGAGTTTGAGATGTTTACATTCGAAATTGTAAGTGAATTTCTTCCAATTCAGTTTTAATGATATTTAGTATTTTTTATAGAAGTTATTGTTTGAATTTAGGGTTTTAGAAAGTGAAAGATCAAATCGTAAGTGTTGATCCCGTGAGGATTCAACAAGAAGAGAAATTGATTCAAGAGTAGATCAAGCATCGAAGACCTGAAAAGTTCAAAGTGGATAAATTATATTATTTTATGTTTTATTCATGATTTCAATTTTTTAGAAATTGATTAAATTTTTGTACTATAAAATGTTGAAGACAAATTCTTATGATTTTATAGTCTTAAGAACGAATTCATCTGTTATGAATGTTTAAAAGTTTATGAAAATGAAAATTAATAATTATAGAGATATATGTAAGATATGTTGTATGAAATGGTAACAATAAGGATGAAAATGAGAAAAGAAAAGAAAAGAGAATAAAGGAAAAGGTATTGAAAACGACAATAGTTCACTCCCTTATGGTACTGGCTGGGGACGCCGTACTCGTGCACTAAAAAGGAAAAGGAAAATGCTATTGAAATGAAAAAGGTAATCAAATGGAAAATATTGTACCTTTGGGTACTTTGAGACGGTGCTCCTGTGCAAATCAAATGGGAAAAGGAAATATAAATGAAATATTAAAGATAACAAAATGTTTTAAATTGATATAAATGAAAATATCCGAAGAAGTGTAAGTTAATGAAACAAAATAAACAAGGTTAGGAAAGGATAGAATATATATTAATCTATATTTATAATGATTAATTTATATAGTTACCCACTGAGTTTACTTAGTAAATTGAAACCACGAGTTTAAATGTTTCAGGTAAGTCGTAAGTTCCTAAAGAAGAAATGATTGAAAGAGAAGAACATGTTTACAGAAGTCGACGTGCAAATGACAACAGGTAATTTACTTTTGTGTTTAGTGGCTCTTTAGTACAAGTGAAGTAATATATTGTTTAAGAAATTTTATCGTCCGACTTTTCGTAGCCGCCTCGTTAGATCGAGTACATGGGTCAGGTCGTGACATTCTTTGATACAGATCTCGTTGCATTCGATTCACACTACTATCATTTTAAGAAATAAATTACATCTTCTTTTTACACTTGCTATCTTTGGGCAAAAAAACATTGGACTACATCCTTGGTGACAATTATTTTTAAATTCAAGTTGACATCTTTTATGCCACCTTAAAAGATGATATAAAAATTATCATATCAACTAATTATTTATTGTAGGATTCTACACTATTTATATTACATTTTTTCATCATTGAGGATATTCTCCTTTATTATACTTGCGTTTAATGTTTTATTCCCTTGCCTAATTATAGGCACATATATGATGACAATTGAGTAAAGATGTAGTTCTTTTCAATTCTTTCCCTTCAATATGCAAATAATTTAACTTTCCAAAAATTGAAATATACTGTTTTCTGGTGCTGAATTATTGTACTTATTAAGGAGAATCTCCAGATTTATGAGCACATCGATATGGCTTTAATTTACATTTAATGGGCACAGGGAAAATCATGTCTTTCCGGTCCTCCTGGAGTTGGTAAAACTAGTATTGGGCATTCAATTGCACGTGCTCTGAACCGCAAATTTTATAGGTTTTCAGTGGGAGGCTTGGCTGATGTTGCTGAAATCAAGGTACAAATATCTGTCTTTATCCTGCATTGGTGATTGTTGAACTTTAAAAGCTTTATTGTGCAACTTAGGAAACCATTTAAATGGAGTTAATTTGAATGATTCAATTTTTTCAGGGCCATCGTCGAACCTACATTGGTGCAATGCCAGGAAAAGTTGTCCAATGCTTGAAAAGTGTTGGAACAGCTAATCCTCTTGTTCTAATTGACTAAATTGATAAGGTATTGTGACAGCCTATACAATTATTTTGACATTTAATCGTTATTCATTAGAACCATTGTTCTTTTGAAACCATGCCTCTATTGATTATTATTTATGTTTCTGTAAGTTATTTTAGATTTCCCATTTTTGCAGTTAGGCAGAGGGCATGCTGGTGATCCAGCAAGTGCTCTGTTGGAGCTTCTTGATCCTGAACAAAATATGAACTTCCTTGATCACTATTTAGATGTTCCTATCGATCTCTCAAAAGTAAGTTTCTTGTCCCATGGACAGAGGTTGAACCTTCTATTCCTTTGGAGCACTTGAGACCTCAAGTTGAGTTTTAATTTTTCTAAGCAACCTTTGATTCTTATTCTTACTGAAATATGCAAGTTTTAAATTGCAATGGTGTTCTTGAAAAAAGATCTGAAAAATAATTGCCTGGTTAGAAATGTATTTTTTAAACAATCCACAGAGAATGCCTTTTTAATTTAGAATTTTGAACTTGCTAACCAAGGAAGGATGAAAACTGATTCATACTTTCATATTTGTATTAGTTTTTTCAATCCAGGTTGTGCTATAGTTAATAATCAGAACAAGAAAATAATCTAGGTTTTTTCTTGGGATTTCTTTGAAATATAATTTTAAAACTATATGTGGACTTCGTTCCTTTGGTTGCACAATCATAGTGATATTTTGTCTGTTAACAGCTATTTTGTTTGTTGTCCACTCAGTTAATTTCAGATTTTCAGCTTTGGGGCTATGTAGTTGTGCATAATGATTTTGTTAAATCTGTTTTTATTCTTCTGTGAAGTTCCCTTATTGATCTGCAATTAAAAAGGTATTTTAGGAAATTGTTTGTCATTGTAATTACTTGATTATTAGGAATAATTGGTTCACATCTCTCAAGTCTGATTATTCATCTCTAAAATCACTTCGCTATTGAATATATTATAGAACCACCACTTGTAAGTCATGATGCCTTCCACAGATTAGCATGTTAAAAGATAGTAAATAAGTATATTATTAAAATATATGACTTTTTTACTTAAGTTTGTTCCATCAGTTTTCTTCTTAAGCCAGTTTCTATAACATGAACTTATACTTCTATCTGCAATATAAATCATGAAGTTCTCGTGCTGTAAGAAATACTTTTTCACTCCCAATAGTTATCCATTTTCTACTTATTACTCTGATATTTTGACAGATAGCTCTACAATTAGTTCGTAAGGCAATTTCAATTGAGACATCTGCCGCTGCCAGCATTCAGCCTGGTAAAGTTAAGCAATATACTGAACCATCTAAGGAAGATCTTATTGAAGATGTAGATGGTTCTCTAAGCTTTGAAAAATCAGATAATGATCCATCTAGTGAAAATGTTGATGCTATGTTGATGCTGCTTCTACTTCAGAATCCAAAAATATTGCTAATCCTGAACAAATTGGTGAAACTTGGGAGGAGGTTGAAATTGTAGAAGTTGATCTATCCCCTGACCAAACTACAAGGTTGAAATTGTAGAAGTTGATCTATCAGAAAGCTCATCAAAGTCTCTTCTATTTGCGGCGGGGAATATGATTGTCTTTACCTCACCCCTCCTTGCAGCTATAATCTTTTCCTTAACCTAATTCATTTATGCAAGATACCAATCACAACTATAACAGAGGAGAAAATCATAATATATAAAAATTATGGAGAAACTAGTAAGAGTGTTCTTACAAGTAACAAGATAATAAATTGAAACTTTCTATGTTAATATCTTTCATGGCCAATAAAGGAGAAGAAAGGAGGATGAGAAATAAGAGGAAAATGGCTTGGAAAAAAATAATAAATGTAATAACAAGCACATTATATGCTGGATTTTTATAATCAATATTAAAAGAATGCTTGGAGAATTCAAATGTTAATCAACGGATGTGGACATATTATAATCAACTAAAATTCAAGTTCAAGTTGTGATGTATTATTTAGATTACAATAAAATTAAATAAAAATTGATAACCTATCAAACATCCATAAAAACATCTATTAAAGAGGCTTATGGAGCTTATAATGTCCCATTCAGAGAAATTGTCTAGGATGTTGTAGCTAGTCACCCTTAACTATACCAACATACATGAAAATGGAGACTTTAATATCCATAATTAAATTTATCAAATAAAGCATTTCAGACTCCATAGCATTACTCTGCTCATAAACAACAAATTGACAAGATAAAGTCTGTAATTTTGTGAATTAGCCAACAATATTGATAGTTAAATTTATAATCTCAAGGCATGAGGGAAAAAAGGTAATTCATTAGAAACTATCACATGAAAGGAACTAAAAATTTGAAACAGACCCCACCAATTGGAAGAATCCGTCCAGTCAATGTAATTTCACTAGTCATGGCTAGATCCTTTCTTACTGGCCTCTTTATTGCAAGAGAGAGTAATGATGTGATCATGGTGCAGCCATTAGTTAACCCATCCTTGGGCGTTACACCAGTATGTACATGCAAATGGAGCTTTGACCTATAATATAAAGTGCACCTTTGCCTTCTCCTTGTTCAACTAGCATTATTTCAATATATAATGTAGATCCGCCTAAAGCAGTCCATGCTAGCCCCATAATAACTCCCATCGGAGTTTGATCATAAATTTTATCAGCATGGAATACTGTTTTACCCACAAAATCAACCAAATTTGAAGACATTAACTGCTCAATTTACAAAGTACATAATCAACATAATAAGAAAATTTGGGTTATTGATCAGCAATCTTTTATGAACTGGTAAGTTGGAAGGAGAAGACAAATGTGCACTTAATATTATAAGTCAAAGCTCAATTTGCATGTACGTGCTGGTGCAACTCCCAAGGATAGGTCGAGTGATGGATGCACCATGATCACATCATTGCTCTCCCTTATAATAAAGAGGCTAGTAAGAAAGGATTTAGCTATGACTGATGAAGTTACATTGACTGGACGGATTCTTCCAATTGGTGGGGTATGTTTTCAGTTTTTTAGTTTTCTTCTTTTGATAGTTTCTGATGAATTATTTTTTTTTCTCATGCCATGATTTTATAAATTTAACTATCAAAATTATTGGCTAGTTCACAAACTTATAGATTTTATCATGTCAATTTGTTGTTTGTGAGCACAGTAATGCTACGGAGTTTGAAATGCTATATTTGATAAATTTAATTATGGATATTGAAGTCCCCCTTTTCATGTATATTGATATAGTTAAGGGTGACTAGCTATAACTCCTAAACAATTTCTCTGAATGGGGCATTATAAGCTCCATAAGCCTCTTTAATAGATGTACTTATGGTTGTTTGATAGGTTATCGATTTTTATTTAATTTTATTGTAATCTAAATAATACTCCGCAACATGAACTTGAGCTTTAGTTGATTATAATGTCTTCACATCCGTTGATTTAACATTTGAATTGTCAATGCATTCTTTCAATATTGATGATAAAAATACAGCATCTAATATGCTTGCTATTACATTTATTTTTTTTATTTCAAGTCATTTTCCTCTTATTTCTCAGCCTCCTTTCTTCTCCTTCATTGGCCTTGAAAGTTATTAACATAGAAAGCTTCAATTTATTATCTTGTTGCTTCTAAGAAACACTCTTGCTAGTTTCTCAATGGTTTATGTTTATTATGATTTTTTCCTCTGTTATAGTTGTGATTGGTATCTTCCATAAATGAATTAGGTTAAGGAGAAGACTATAGCTGCAAGGAGGGGTGAGGTAAAGACATTCATATTCCCCGCTGCAAATAGAAGAGACTTTAATGAGCTTTTTGATAATGTGAAAGAATGCCTTGATGTCCATTTTGTTGATGATTGCAGTCAGATATTTGAGCTTGCTTTTGGAAGTATTGATAGCTCTGAAAGCTAGTTAGGGAGGTTTCATATCTTTGCATGTTGTACTGAATTACAACACCCTTGCGCCACCATACAAATTTTTTCTCTCTATCCTTCTATTGAGGTTTCTATTATTTTATCAATATTGTCTCAATCAAAATTTTGTATTATTCTTTGTTTGTTAAGTCCTAGTTTATGAGCAGAATGATAATTTAAAATTATGTATCTTCATATTTGATGATCATTGCTGGGTTCACTACGTTGCTTCTGACACATACATTTTGTATAAATTTTCGGATTTATGTTATGATTATTCGAAAGTTTTATGCTGGTTGTCGACTAATTATAACTATTCTCCACTTTCTCATCTAGGACGTGGGATCCGACAACAACTTTGTTAAATTTTTGTTCAAATATAAAAAAGAGAGGCTTGAGGCATATTTTTGAAGAAATTGTCAACAATGTGATGCCTTAGTTATGTATATTTCCAATGATAAAACAGCTAATCACAGCACACTTTATATGTGTATTTCAACTATGAAAAAAAATAATATTATGATTAAGCCTTGTTAATTATACATCATGGTGAAGAGAAGGATACTGAGACCCTCCATCTGTAGATGAAAAATATTATTCCTTAGCAGAGCAGTTTAAATTTTTCCACATGCAGGAGTCGAAGCAGGATAGATTCACTTCAATTTCAAATGCCGTGGACACTGCAGTCCTTTAGTAGAGAAAGAAGACCCTATGACTTTCATTACAACACATGAATGTCATAATGCTTTGATTTATCCAGCATCAAAGCATGATGTGGTGTTTAGAATTTATTTATACTATGATTTAAAAGGAAAAAAAGAAGAAGATGAGGCCATTTTAGAAACTGACCATTTTCATGATCACAGAATCATTAGCCAGTGAAACTAGTTGTTTTACATGCAAACAGCGTTGGAATTGGTTGTGAATAGAGCTACTGATGTGAGCTTAGTTTGGTTCAACCAAATTACAGATCCCATTAAAAAGTGTTATGAAATTATCATGAAGTTGTTAAATACAGGGCAGAGGTTGTGTCCTCGAGCTTGATGATTTGAGGAGATATGCTTTCTATTATTTGAATAAATATATGGGTAATAAAAAAAAAAGCCCATGTTGACCTTGTTCGTCTCCCGGTTCTTGTTCGCAAGCCCAACGTCGAATAGCCTTTAATTCACACCCCATGTTGTATTCCTCTCCAGAATCTTAACCCCAACGCCGGAACTAACTATGGTTTCCTTCGATCTCATGTAGGCGCGACTTCCTTTGATCTCTGGTGGGCAAACTGCCCCGACCAGGTCTTCTCCTGCAAACGAAACCAAATCTCCCGCCTTGCTTGCTATACCTGAAGTCACACTTGGACGGAACTTCCAAGCCATGCCTCTTCATTGTTTGCTCTCATTTTGCGAGGACTTTATGATTTTAGTTCTGGTTTCCTATAGGCGCAAGCCCCTATAGTTAATTACCCGTCCCGATCACGAGAGTTCTTCGATTAAGGCTAGTCGTCAATCAGATACGTATAGATACATGTTATCTGGCATATAGTAGCAACATAGGGATTGAGAATTAGGAATTTTAAGGGTTTGGATGTTGGAAGTTCATGGTTTGATATTTAAAATAGAAAATTTCACCACCTTGCACTTAAATCGGATGATGGGGGAATGGATGATGGGCCCGATCAAGATCCCATGGTTCCGTTGTCCCGGGCCATCGTGGTCCCTGATCTACTTAGTCAGAGGAAGTAGTCGACCCAACTTTACAAAAGCATCATTGTCGCCAGCCATGGGTTGCTCCGTCCAAGGGTACCTTGTAGGCTTGGGTTGGATGTTTGTCTAAGGGGATAAATTTGAATTCACCTTAGCTAACAGAGGGCTTTGTGCCCTATCGATCATATCCTATTGATTCATATCTCAAGGATTTGATGCTACTAAGACGCGTATTGGCTCTGCCCATAACTGGTATTTCGTGGTGCCATTTGGCGGCAAAATCACTCGGTTCAAAGGGTCCCGGGTCATAATCGTTTATCCTGCGGTGCCTTTTGGTGGCAAAATCGTCGGTTAGAGGACACGTACCACGTCCTTATTGGTAGTAGATTGTTTGAGAATGGATCCTAGTGATATTTTCGACTAGGCATTAGCTATTTATGAGCCGAAGTACATTTCAATTTGCCCACCCCGACAAACTGTTGCGGAAGATGGATGAATTTTGCTTTGAGTGTTGATGGATTTATTTCAATTTTAAATATTTTTTTTGATTTTTTTAATTTTTTTAATTTTGGGATAGCATTTTAAATTATTAGTGAACCCCTTCGGTTAAGACTTTCATTCAACACGACTATCATCGGGGTGTTTGGAGTTATTTCCATTTGATTAAATCTTATCGACCATATCAACTTATCAATAGGGGGCCGGGTTTCGTAGGCTTCGTGTCTTT